TACCCAACCCATACCCATACCCACACTCATACCATCTGCCCATACCTCATCCTCATATGTGCACTCTGTACGTGTCTCATATGCAGACATTGTAACACGAAGCAGACAAAAAGCATTGAAGGTCAAAGGTAAAAGACAGAAAATTATAAAATTTTATTTATAATGGTTTTATATGAATAATAAACGACTTTTAGCTAATCTATCAATGAAAGTACTATTAAATTTGTTATCATTCACTTAAGAAAAGAAAGAATAATTTTCATAGGAGCAAATCGAGTAGAAATGTAAATGATAAAAAGTGAACACAACTCACGAGCAAATTGAAGAGAGATTAGATTCTAGTTATTAGCAAAACTGTCGATGTGCATTTATTTACATTTTTGAAACAACCAACAGCTCAAAAACTAACCTCCAAATAGCACATATCACTTTGGACTTCACATCTATTTTATTTGCTCAATGCTTGATGTTATCTCCTTAGTATTACCTTATAATATAAAACATGTAACCGAAGATAGCAATTTAATTTATTTAATTGAAAAATATTTTTCTTGAATTTAAAAGAGTAAATTTATTATTTAAAATATATTATTTAAAATATATTATTATATTACAATATTTAATAATGTAATATAATTATTAAAAATAATAAATTAGTAATGAAATGTTATTCGTTTTTAAAGCTAGATAATGTTTTTTTAGAAATAAATTTAATTTATTTTATTGAAATATTTATTTTAATTTATTAAATTTAAATATTTCAAATATAAAATATTTTTAGGGATAAGCTTAAAAATAAATTATTATAAATTAATAGATTTTTTATAAATTTATAGGGTTATAAATATTCATTAATATAAAAATGTTATAATTTATTTTTAAATAAATTAAAATTTAATAAATTTTAAATTTTTATAAAAATAATATTTAAAATTATAAAAAATATGAGATAATGATTGAATTAGTATAATATAATTTATTAGTAATATTAAAATTTAGGTTCATTTTTAATAATAGGAGTCCTTGATGTAAAATTTATCAACCAATTAGGTAAAATTGCCTCATGATTTTTTTTTCTTAAAATATTTGTATATTTAATATATTGTTAAAATCAATTACGCTATTTTACAATTACAAATTGAAAATTAAGATGAATAAAAATATGTAAAACTTACTTGTTTATGCATTTCCACATTAAGGCCATAGGACATCTCATAATACTGAAACAAAAGAAACATTATAATTAATATACAAATATATATATATTTTTTTCCAAAATTTTGGAGTACCAATTGCAAGCAAAAATTGATGCTAATAAAATTTTCACCCTTTCATTTTGTATTTGAAACATGATCAGACAATATAGACTTAACCAAAATTTTTGGTTAATTATTAAACTTAAACATTAATTTTGAGTATAGGAATTAATTTTTTGTCTCAAAAAATGATAACGATATAATTTCTCTCCATAAATAAATAATATAAAAAAATCTCTAATTTTACTTTAAAGTAAAGATATTAATTATTTGTTCAATGACATTACAATGTATTTTTATTTTCTGCTCTTTGTATATTATATACAAAATTCAAAAATTTCACCAAGTTAATAACCAAGTTATATTTATTTGTTAATTTATATTATTTTTTAAGATATCGTTGATATCACAGTAATTTAATTAATGCTTTATTTTAATAATTTGAATCAAAGTGGTCATTTAAAAAAACATCTCTAAAATTAAAAAAACAATTGTGTACGTGTAAATAATTCTAGTAAATAATTTCAGAATAGTTAAAGCAAAAAAACTCTATTTCCTTCTCAAAATAAAGAAAATATTCTTCCTTATATAATTTAATTTAATAAAATATTAAAATATAGTTAATAACAAAATGATTTCAGTATAATTAGTACAAAATAAATTTTCTTAAAATAATGATTTTAATCATAATTTCATTTAACAAATACGTCAAATATTTTGAAAAATCACATTAAACAAAACAGAAATTTGGTTAACATTAAAGCAAATGCAATTTAAAAATAATTGAAATTTTATATGCCTACATATAATTATTATTTATGTAAATTAATTTAAATATCATAAATAAAAGATATATTATAAAATTATTTCAGTATGGTTAACAATTTATATTATATTTTTAACAATATTTTTGTATTTGTAAAAAAATTATATCGAACAGATTTTTTCTTGGTAAATATACACGATTTTTATTATTTCTTTGTGTTTATTATAATTATTCATTGTTTTATATAATTTACAAAGTCTAAGAAAAAAACAATTTTTATATACAAAAATATGAATTGTTTCGGTACAAACAACGATTTTATTATAAGATAAACTAGAAAAATTTAAAGCGATTTTTTACCACAAAACTTTTGGCAGCATTATTCATTCACAAATTTGCTGCAAAACCTAAACTCGATCGAAATTCGAACTATTTTTGGCAAATTGACAAGGAGATAAATCAATTAAATATATATATATATATTATATATATATATATATATATATATACTATATTACATATTTATATTAAATATTTTGCCATGGCTAGCATCACATTTTACTTTAGCAAAATTTTGCAGCATTTTATTACAAATTTTAAGAAAATTGATAGTTGTCAAAATTTAGAAGGTCAAACAATGATAAGTTGTTTTTCGCTAGTTTTTTCATATTACTATATAATAAATTAATTTTGTTTTGACTCATTACCATCAACAAATGAACTAGAAAAAACACAAAAAGTTTTACCCAAATTGGACTAACCGTTCTAGAGCAGTTGATTGACATACATACAAAAAATTTATATATAAAATTATACATTTATATAAAAAATTATATATGGGCTGCAAAATATTTCAAATATAAAATTATATATTATAAAAATATACATGTAATAAAAAAATCATATGGCTGCAAAAATATTTCAATATAAATTATATATTTTCAATATTGTAAAAAAAAATAATAATACTGAATATTAACACAAAATTGTACTATTATATTATTATTATTATTATTACATTTGCACCCACTCATGTATATATGTTGCATTATTGTAATCGGCTTAAGCTAATATTATAATCTGAATATAATTAAACAGGGAACCAACGACCATGACTATGAGATGATGATGATGATAATAGAGCGAAATATATTTGAATTAATCCATGTACAGATTTAGCGATTATTATTATTGATTCCATTTGCAAACTCATATTTGCAAATTAATGGAGATCGGAATTAAAATATTTATAATGGACAAGGATATAATTAAAATATACTTATATATAATATATATATATATATTATATTATATATATATATAATAAATATTCTTAAAATAGTTCCATTTCCACGTTTGATGATTATTACCAAGAATTGATGATGATGGCCAGAGCGTTCTATTTCTATTTCTGTTCGGCTATTTATCCATCTATTTAAATTATAGTATGTTGGAATTGCTTTGAATTGAAATGGAGAACATTTTAGAGTAGTTTAAAATGAGCAAGGGAGCCGTTAATCGTAAATGCAATGCGGATTTGCTTAATGTTTGTTTGCCAGAACCATTTGACATTGTTGATAGATTATCGGGAAAGCATTTTGCAGTTGTGTGGTAAAGGATTTTGTTTAAGATATGTATATATTATATAAATCTCCCAAATTTTTTTAAGAAAAACTACAAAAATGTCCGGGCTGAACTACGACTGCAAAATAAGTCTATAGAGAAATGAAGTATCTACCATTTTTTTAAATTAAGTATTATTAGTGAGTTTCATCAAATTTTTGTTAGTGCTGAA